AACAATTTTTAAGGCAATATTTCTCCGTTTTGGAATATTTAGAAAAATAGAAAAATAAGTAGCAGTCCGGGAAGGACACGAGGGTGGTGGGCGCGCCCCCTACCTCGTGAGCACCTCGTGTGCCTTCCGGACTCCGTTTTCTTGCACGTTACGTATTTTGGTCGATAGAAATTCATTATATATTCTCCCGAAGGTTTTGACTCCTGTATCACACAATTATCCTCTGTTTTCGTTTCAAGCTGTCCCATTGCAGACTAAATCAACATGTCTTCCCAGGATTCGGAAGGAGAAAGCTATGTGGATGATTACTTAGCAAATCCAAAGGTCTATGGAGATGTGGAACATGATGGATGGACCACGGAGGAAGAAGAGGACTATGAACCCAAAGGGAAGGAGGAGACAAGCTCAGATGAAGATGAAGCACCATTACCTCAACCTGGGGACATGCACGTGGAGTTCAAAAAGTTAAGTCTCCCTGATAGGGTAAAGAAACCCAAGTTCGAGTTTATCCCATTTCGTCTCTTGTAGGAAAATAAGCAGGACCTATGCAAAAAGATAATAACCCTGTAGTGCGGGATTGATGATCTGAGGGATCAAAATGCCGTCCTCAAGCGCAAATTAAGGGAGAAGCCTAAGCCATCAACTAAGCCAACATCACCACCACCTTCTTCATCGACAAAGGAGATATAATCACATGGGTGTGGGCACTCCCCTTGGCAACTTCCAAGCTTGGGGGAGGTGCCCCGGTATCGTATCACAATCACAACTCCTATCTTTACCATTTTTCTTAGTTCGATCATATTAGTAGTATCTTGATCTAGTAGAATAAAGTTTATGGCATGATCTAGTTTTGAGTTTTGCTTTATGATCTCTCTATGTAATCGAGTACGTGAGCTATATATAATAAAGATTAGTGTTGAGGTAAGGGCTTTACTTTTTTGCCATGATCTTGGGTGAATAAAAGAAAAGAGAAAAAAACAAAAAGAAACAAAAACTTCATACTAATCTTATTGAGAGTAATGACTTCACATAGAAAGAGTATGATGATTAAAAGTGGTTGGGAGTTGGCAGACATAGCTTTGGTCATTGTCACAATTAATAGGAAGTAATAAGGAAAGAGAGGTTTCACATATAGATATATTATCATTGACATCTTTTATGATTGGGAGCACTCATTAAAATATGACATGCTAAATAGTTGATGTTGGACAAGGAAGACAACATAATGAATTATGTATTTCTTATATCTGAGATAAAGTATGTTGTCATGGATCCTCTAACTTGTTGAGCTTGCATTTCCCCCTCATGCTAGCCAAATTCTCAGCACCAAGTAGAAATACTACTTGTGCTTCCAAATACCCTTAAACCAGTTTTGCCATGAGAGTCCACCATATCTACCTATGGATTGAGTAAATCCTTCAAGTAAGTTGTCATCGGTGCAAAGCAATAAAAATTGCTCTAAATATGTATGATTAATTGGTGTGGGAGAAATAAGCTTTATACGATCTTGTGATGTGGAAGTAATAAAAGCGACGGACTGCATAATAAAGGTTCATATCACAAGGGGCAATATAAAGTGACGTTCTTTAGTATTGAGATTTTATGCATCCAACCATAAAAGCGCATGGCAACCTTTTCTTCCCTCTGCGAAGGGTCTATCCTTTATTATTATCTTCTACCTTATGCAAGAGTCATGGTGATCTTCACCTTTTCTTTTTCATTTTATCCTTTGGCAAGCTCGGCATGTTGGAAAGAACATG